TACCCAATTGGTTAGTTCTCTTCTAGATATTTTTAAAAATCGTGTTTTGATCAAAGAAAGCCATATCTGGTCGGATTCGGAGATAGCTTTATATTGGGTTAATTCCAGTTCGTCGAGATGGAATGTTTACGTTGGGAATCGGGTAGCGGCTATACAGTCAATAGGTAAGAATTTTCTTTGGCACCATGTGCGATCTAATTGGAATCCAGCAGACTTACCTAGTAGAGGTGTGGCAGTGAAAGAGCTATTGGGTGTTTCGCACATGTGGTGGCATGGCCCACCCTTTTTGTCATTAGTAAATATAAACTACGAACAGTTTAGAATAAACTTTAAGTTGCAATACATTCCCGAAGCGAAAAACATCGTATTGTCAGCTATTGAAGTAGATGATAGCATTTGGTTATTGGCTTCTGATCGATATTCCTCGTATAAAAAAACTCAACGCATTTTCGCATATGTTTTAAGATTTATAAAAAATTGTAGGCTTTCAAAAACGGGTTTAGATAAACTTACCGAGAATTTAACTCCTAGGGAAATAAATAACGCAACAGATCTTATAGTACGGGAGCTTCAACAAAAATATTTTAGTAAAGAAATTTCTGATTTAAAAGCAAATAAAATTTGTTCAAATAAAAACTTAGCGGCGTTGACACCTATGTACAATTTAGAAGATGGATTTTTACGTGTGGGTGGGCGATTGGAGAATGCTGAGGTTCCTTATGATCAAAAGCATCCTATTTTATTACCGGCTCACAACCGAATTGTTTCGCTGATGATATAGGATATGCATATAAAATTAGGACATGCAGGAGCGCAAACCACTCTGTCAAATTTTCGGTTAAAATTTTGGCCTCTCAACGGTTTAAGAGAGGCGAAGTCAGTGATACATCGCTGTATGATTTGTTTTCGTTTTAAATGTCAACCAATGACACAAATCATGGCAGACTTGCCCAAGGATAGGGTCACTGTCTCTAGGCCCTTTAAAAAGGTAAGCATTGACTACGGTGGATATTTTTTAACAAAAAGTTCTAACCTAAGAAAAGCGCCAATTACAAAATCTTATATAGCTATTTTCGTTTGCTTGGTTACTCATGCTATCCACTTGGAAGTAGTTTCAAGTTTGACTACCGAAGATTTTCTTTTAGCGTTGAAACGCTTTACTGCTCGTAGAGGAAATCCTACCGTTATCTATAGTGATAATGCAACCAATTTCTTTGGAGCACGGAATCAGCTTAAAGAACTTCATGAGTTTTTAATAAATAAGGAAGAAAACATTCATATAAAAAATTATTGTTTAGAAAATTTAATAGAATTCAAATTTTTACCACCAAAGGTTCCACACTGGGGAGGTTTACATGAGAGTGGGATTAAAAGTGCAAAGTTCCACATTTATCGTTTAATTGGAAAAAATGTTGTCACTTTTGAAGTATTTTATACAGTAGTTGTACAGATTGAAGCTATATTGAACTCACGACCCCTAACCCAATTATCTAATGACCCAAATGATTTTACATGTCTTACCCCAGGACATTTTTTGATTGGCACCAATTTAACAGCGTATCCAGAACTGGACGTTACTTCGGTGAAGGAAAATAGGTTAAATCTTTACAAGAAGATTGCACAAACACAGCAATTATTTTGGCAAAGATGGGTTAAAGATTACTTAAATCAATTACAGCATAGACCAAAGTGGAGGATACCTACCAAAAATCTTGAGCTCAATGAGTTAGTACTTGTTAAAAATGAAGACAATCCTCCTTTGCTTTGGCCTCTGGGACGAATTATAGAGACTTATATGGGACGGGATAACAAAGTTAGGTCCGTTAAAGTAAAAACTCAGGTCGGAGAATATGTGAGACCAATCACCAAAATCTGTCGATTACCATCTTCAGAATTGTAGTCCTATAGGATTGGATTAAACATTGTATTATGCATATATTTTTTTATCGTTTATAGTTTAGTTTTACGTGTAAGGTATTATTCGCATTGAAGTTAGTATTGTCTATTGCGTTAAGTATAGAATAGTTTGCAAGCTTAAATTAGATTAGGAATTAGGATAAGCAGTACTCGACTCCAGCTGTAGCTAACAGTTGCTGGGGAGTTCAATATATGGATTTTTTCTGGCCAAGCCAGCGGGGGGAGAATGTTCCGAGAATCTGCCTAAATATTAACAGAGGCTATTTTTCGAAAGCCATGTTCTTAGAATTTAAAACGTAAACAACCGACGTCACAGATCACGGGAATTATTATGCATCGGAAACAGGTTAGAGCTAATAAACGACAGTATCTTGTCCTTTTTTGGGGCGTACACACGTTGTCGTTTCCGCTAATATTCGATTTGAGAGTCGAGAAGTGGCTTTCACCGTTGGGAGTTGTACGAATGTTGTTATACTAGTTATCTCGAAATGAGAATCGTGGTTTTTATCGATGAAATATGTTCGCAATTAGTTGGAGAATAGTAATAGTTCATCTATGGTAACTCGTACCAGTACCATACATTATAATTTGAAGTATTTGTAATAGTGTAAAAATTAGCTAAGAGTGCCGTATTCATACAAGAATAAATTCTAGTGTTTATAAGTGCTACAACCTGTGGTTCAACAACGAAAGAAGACCATTCCAGTTTTAACATGGCTCAGGACAGGAGTTGGTAGATATAAAAACATTTTGACATTTTATTTGAATTCTGAACTATTTCGTCATGGTATATAGTGTTTACTGACTTCATATTGCGGTACAAAATTGTGCTAAATTAATATTTGTATAAGGTCCATGCTTTTAGTATTAGCGTTTATTCAGAAATAAAATCTGTATTTACTATACTCAACTTTTTATTCTAATTTATATTAAAAAAGGATTAGACAAACTTACCACCCCGGGACGGGGTGTGATTAAAATCAAGCGTTGGTGAAATTAATACAGTCCATTAGGGGTCATTCGGACGCCTCTTAGTTCATGATAATAAGGCATATAGCCCTCATTAGTCACTAGTGTTAACATATTTCGACTTCCAACCCAAGTAAGGACATTCAAACTGTCTCACATAAGCTTCGCGTTCACCATTATGGTGAACTGAGTGTCTTCAAGACTGCTTGACTGTCAGGGCAGGGCAATTTTGTGTAGCAGCAATTTTCGGCTGAAATAGTGTAGCGTATGTTCCGAAACTCTACCGGAGTTCTGTCTTTGGTCTCGTTCCATAAATTGTAGCCCCTTTACCTATGTCAGTTTTGGAATGATTTGTATATTAACAATACATTATTGGCGGGCTGGTTTCCCAGTCTTTTTTTTGGTAAGTTAATTTAAGAATTTTTGTCAAAGTTATATCTTGGAACCATTCGGTCCACCGTCATTCTTAAAATTAATACTTTGCTTTGGTTGTCCTTTGCATTACGCTTATGGGAGCCTGTGTATTTTAGGTCTGGTCTCTCTCTGCACATATACGTGCAAATATTGTTACACTTCTTTAAAATAACTTTATTCAAACACCAACAGCATTACAATACTTTAACTTAATTACAACTATCAACTTCAAAAACTCAAATACTATTTTAAACTGTCAACTTCTTGTGTTTATAGTGGGATATTACTCGTTTCTATTTGGCCTGATTTACAAGTGGAATCTCCATTACCCTGATGGCTTTGTGATTGTTTTGGTTGAACGTCCTTGACCACGATTGCCAGATTGTCTATATATTGCAGCTAGTAGAAACCTTCTCTGGAGAGTTTCGTCACTAAGTCATTTATCATAACCACAGCAATAGAGATAGTACCCACCCTGTCGGCAACTTCAAATTTTGCACCGTTAGCGTTAGGTCGCACGTTGTTGCTAAGAATTTTCTCTTCCAATATCCTGTACCACTGTGTATTATCAACGGAAAATCTTGATAATCGCTGCATGCTGTTGTACGTTGCTGTTACACGGTGAAAAAACTGACCGTTGGAAATATGGTACTAAAGTATGTTCGCCTAACAGAAAAGTAGAATATAACCACTAGGAACTCGTGATCAATTCATTCACAATGTCTAAAGATGCTGAAGATGTATCCACTTGTTACAAAATCACTTATACTGTAGCTGATTATATACAAAAGAGTATCAAAAGTAACAAGTAGAAACTCACAAGTAACGACAATCTACACCTCTAAACAAAGACGCTTAATTTGCAGTTTTAACAGATATGGATTCAGTAATCCTTACGAATCACATTTATGTCTTTTGAATTTAATTATATAAATATAATTTTTACTTTTAATAGCTCTATGTATATGTGTGTTGATATAATTACAGTGTTGGTTTATAATTATAGTGTTATTTAAATAAACTGTGATAGTAGTACCATAAATTGTATTACAAGTTCACAAAGTGATTTAATCCTTTTTCTTATCAAAATCCACAAGGAAAACAATTCCTGTAGCTGGCTGTATACCACGTATCACAAAAAAAGAGGTTAGTCTTCGTAAGTGGGTATATTTATTTAAAAACTCTTAAAAGGGCTACATCAAAAAAACAAACGTTTTCGGACTAAACAGTCCATCATCAGGTTTAGATTTTAAACTGGCTAGGCCTGAGCCACCAAAATACATGGGTAAAAACCCTTTAAATTACATATAGTTATAAAAGATTATACTTTTGATGTTCAGTATTAAATTAAAAATGACTTCAGGTAACATACATTGTTGAATTGAGTTCCAGAGCCGGGGAGTAAACCTCTACGCACGGAGAACAGCTGGAAACTGGCTCCAGTTTCCAAGACTAACCTCTTTTTTTTTCTTTTTTTTTTTTTCTTTTTCTTATCCTCCTTATTTTCTCCCATCATCTTGCTTTACTAATCAAATTACCAAGAACAGTTTCTAGTACATAGTGTTTCGATTTTTTCTTCATATTGATTTTATTTATGACAATTTCAAAATATTTCATATTTTTGTCCATAGATATTTTACAATTTTAAGTTATTTCTATTACTTTTATGACATTATTTGCTTGAATTTTGTTTTTTGTAGGTGTTTCAAATACAGATCTTCGATTGACGGTAGAAGTAAAGTCGATCGTCGGGACTCTAGTCTTAAATATTCCCCCTCCACCGACAGATCGTATCTGGATAGGTTTCAGGCCGGTTCCCGAAATTTCCCTGTCTGCCAGACCAATCGTGGGCGAGAGAAACATTAGTTATATTATGGTAACTAGTTGGATCGAGAAAAAATTAGTTCAAGAATTCCAGGTAAGCCAAGTAATGCATATCTATTTTAACCTATTATTTTTCATTATATTAACACTTAATATTCACATTTTGTATTTTTCTTTAATAAATTTGTAGAAAGTAGTAGATAAAACTATGCCATTTTGGGTGTCTATAGACTCGTCTTCTCTTTGTGTGTCTAAAAGTTTTTAGTGTCTTAAAGTTTTAGTGTCTAGAGTGTCTAAAGTTTTAAGAAAGTTTGATAAATGGTTAAAAGCATAACATTAAAAAAACGCATAGTCGATAAAACTACGTCTTTTTAAATTTTCAATAGCCATAGTGTATGTAAAAAAAGATGTGAACTACCACTAATAATTTGTTAATAGTGGTAGTTCACATATATCACGTTTTACAGAAAACGCTCGAAGAGCTATTTGTTTTTCTAGCCCTTCTATTCTATTCTATTTTTTTCTTCTTTCTATTTATCTTTTAAGCTCATATCCTGATAGAATTCATTAATTTATTTATTTACAGCTCTCAAACTATTACGTCATCGACATTTTTCTTAAATAATAGTTCTTAAATAAGACCAATTATAATTATTATAAACAGACTCGAAAATTTTTACATTACCAATCCTAGGGACGCAAAAAGACTAAGAATCTTTTTCGGTGTTTTATGATATATGGGGTGAAACGAAAATGCTACAGTTTCAAACAGATCAGGTATAGCAATAATTTTTTTTTGCTACGTTGATTTCGAGTGGAAGTTACTATACAACTAACCACACGGGTTTATAACCAATATTAATTGTAATTTTAAGTACATAAAATATCCATATAAAGTTGATTAAGAATATAAATCTGCATCAATTAAAACAAAGGTTTTGTTATGAATTGTCTCCTTTCTACAACACAAGAAACGGGTCAGACGTTAGAACTGGCTAAGTATGAAGACTAGGATTAAATAATCCTTCGTTGAAACTATTTTAGAAGTCGAAATGGTAATAATAATGCTTGATGAAGTTAAGGACACTTTATTTTACCTTGCACTTTTACAAAAGGTAGTTATTTATAAACGTATTTAACTAAAACTAAACTATTTACTTTTCTGCTATGTGAACGAAAGTTTACGTTGAGCACGTCTATTTTTACACAAATCTTGAGAGGTCGAGATGTACCTACTGTTAAGTACGGGAACAGAGAGGAGATTCTGTGAAGGATAGTATATATCTACTCATGATATTATAATAAGATATGATACCAAAGTGTTTCAAATTCGTTCGGTTCCACGCATGACGTCAAGAGCTGACTATTAATGGCGCCAATTTAAAACAACCGATAATATGTAGACTGGAATCTTACGGATTATTTATGTTAAATTTCTTTGTACGAGACGTAGTGATAAAATAATGGATGTAAACTTTTGTGAATTATGGATTTATTAAAGATAAAATAGGCAAATGTGAAAAATACCTATATAATCATTGTCATTTTTAAATATATAAAAATTCTGGGATACATAGGAAAGTATTATCGTATAGATGCAATTGAACTGATTTCTGACAATCAAAAAAATCTTTTCAAAAATTTTTCTCTATCTTCTCCCTCATAACTAATCAAATAACCTTTGATTGCCTTTTGTCCATTTTCTTTCTTGTTTGCACTGGAACTTGTGCATAACAGGTTATAGCTATGATTCTTGGGTGATTTATTCTAGGTCTCTTACCTATCCATAGCTTATGTGGACTTAGAAAAACGACTAAATTTCAACATAAACTAAATACTTACTTCCTTTCCAATATTTAATAGGTTTTTGGGTTAAATAAAAAATAGAAAACATTTTATAAAACAGGTTTTATTAGCTTTAAATAACAGTGTATTTATTATGTTCTATTTGCAAAACGGAAGAAATATTTGTAGTCGATGTCAAAACATATCTATGGTTGAAAGGTAAAAAAGGAGTGAGGAGCACTAAAAAGGTTAGAAAATTCAAAAACTCGCCTTAAATGGAAAATGGAGGACATACCTAAAGCAATAGTTATTTATTGTGCCGGTCCAAGAGCATAGTTTATTCATCAACATTAGTTCATTATTGAAATGCAAACATTTGACACTCATATTTTTCTTAATCTTACAGATTGCTTTAAAAAAAAGGATACCCTTTTAAGGATAAAAAAAGAGTAAAAATTGCTCCTGGCATATTAAAAAATGTGTTCTGTTTAGTCATAAAAGACTGGTTGCTTCCAAGCTTTGAACAATCCTCTTAATGTTATAACTTGGGCATAACTGTATGGCCTGAGAGTTTAGTCATTTGCCTTATCATTTAAATACTTATTTTTTATATTCATTTCATCAAAGCTCATTACACATACTTTGTCCATCAGACATTTCAGTCAATTTCATAAAGTTGAAAACAATTGATGGATTCGACCGTTACTTGAAGGAAATTCATTTTATGTAACAATAAAACACTGAAAACTTTGTTTTCAAACTTCATTGACAAAATCAAAGCTCATTACACATACTTTGTCCATCAGACATTTCAGTCAATTTCATAAAGTTGAAAACAATTGATGGATTCGACCGTTACTTGAAGGAAATTCATTTTATGTAACAATAAAACACTGAAAACTTTGTTTTCAAACTTCATTGACAAAATCAAAGCTCATTACACATACTTTGTCCATCAGACATTTCAGTCAATTTCATAAAGTTGAAAACAATTGATGGATTCGACCGTTACTTGAAGGAAATTCATTTTATGTAACAATAAAACACTGAAAACTTTGTTTTCAAACTTCCACAAAATTTATTTTAAATTTTATTACTACAGCTGTTTCGGCTGATTGCCTTTCTCAAGTGATCTATTTTTGGCTTGGGTTTACAAATTTATAGTCTCTAATGAAATAGGTTGAGGAGAGGAGAACTGTTTGTCTCAAGTTGGTCATTCAGAATTATATCTGTGTTTTTTAATTTGTTGATTTCCATAGATTCTAACAAAGATAGCTTAAGGCCTTTATTTTGAATGTGAAGAATTTTAAATTTGTCATTAAAGCAATGATTATGATCTAGAAGGTGAAGTGCGTATGTCGAATCTGTTTTTCTATTCTTGAAAGCCCTTTTATATTCTGCTATTCGTTTATCAAAGTTTCTACCAGTTTGACCGATGTAAGTTTTTGGGCAGTCGTCACATTGAAGTTTGTACACACCACTATTTAAGTGTTTTTTATTTTGGTTCTTGGCCCTGAAATTAGTATTCCCACCACCAGAGAAAAAACCCAGTACCTTCTGCTCGATTACATATACAGGAAAAATAGCAACAAAAATTGCCAAACACATAAAAAAGAAAGGAAGAACACCAGCTTTCCGAACAAATAACAACCTAGGCAAATATATTAAAAATAACAAGAGCCAAAATAAAAAACACTTAAATAGTGGTGTGTACAAACTTCAATGTGGCGACTGCCCAAAAACTTACATCGGTCAAACTGGTAGAAACTTTGATAAACGAATAGCAGAACATAAAAGGACTTTCAAGAATAGAAAAACAGATTCGACATACGCACTTCACCTTCTAGATCATAATCATTCTTTTAATGACAAATTTAAAATTCTTTACATTCAAAATAAATGCCTTAAGCTATCTTTGTTACAATCTATGGAAATCAACAAATTAAAAAACACAGATATAATTCTGAATGACCAACTTGAGACAAACAGTTCTCCCCTCCTCAACCTATTTCATTAGAGACTATAAATTTGTAAACCCAAGCCAAAAATAGATCACTTGAGAAAGGCAATCAGCCGAAACAGCTGTAGTGATAAAATTTAAAATAAATTTTGTGGAAGTTTGAAAACAAAGTTTTCAGTGTTTTATTGTTACAAAGTTGAAAACATTTTTTAATATTCCTGGGACAATTTTAATTTTTTCAAGCCATGATCCAAGACTTTTCACAGCAGGAAAGGGATATTCCTTTTTTAAAAGAAGCCTATATGCTCTTGGATCAGCGGAATAAATAAGAAATGCCTTGAATATATGTTCTATAGACCATCGAAGAGGAGTTTTTGAACCTTAAATATAGAAAAAATTGGTTAACAATTAGTTTAATTAATTACTCAGTGTAATAATAGTTATGTTAAGTGCCCATACCTTCTCATTTTTTAATCTGTTCATTGCTGAAAGACTCTCCGATAAGGTCTTGTCTTTTTTTTTAAATTTCTTGTCTTTTTTCTAAAATTTCTTGTCTTTTTTCTAATATTTCAATTTTTTTTTCAGGTGAGCAATTGTTTTATATTTTGCCTTTAACTACCTGTCTGTATTTACACTAAAAAATTAATAATCATATTAAAACAAATAAATGATCATTACATTGCTCTAATTTTACTAAAACAAAATCACTAAATAGTAGAAAAATTTAATCCATTCAAATGATTTACTATTGATGATTGTAAACAATCAAAACAGCATACATGCCCATTGCTAGGAGATGATTCTTCTGACAAATTAGTACAAAGAAAATTTATTGCCAAGCAATCACCTAAAATTGTACTACTATTCTTTGTTTCAAGTTAAGAAAATAACATTACGCTTATGGAGATCAGTGTTGCCAAAACTCTCAGACACTCTCTTTTGCACGGATGTCCAAGTATTCCATTTGCTTAATTTTTGAATTTAAATTTTCAATTAACATTTATCTGTAAAGTCAGAATAACTACTAAATAAAAGCCTTAGTATCATTATGTAGTCAGAGAACGACATAAAATAGCTGACATACGCACATCGTATTATTTTAAGTTGCAATTAGTAATTACATAGATGTATACGAATTCCAAGCGGTCAATATTTTCTACTAATTTCTATGATTCATGGCATATCGTATTCTCACCGAAAAACAAATAAACTGTCGTTACTATAATTAAAATAAGATAAAATAAAATTATCTTTTGTAAATACTATTTATCTAATTAAAATCATTTTCCCTACTTTTCATCTCTTGTTTCGAATGGGCACTTTTGGTCAATTACGTTAAAAAACATTAATTTAATTCATGTTTTTGGAAATGAAAATACAAATTATACAACCCTAAATTGTGCTTGTGTGTGTCGTGGCAACGCCGCGTTGCTATCGTCCATAAGAAATACATGGCCCTATCTCCGCAATGTTATTTTCTAAACGTGGAACGTAGTATAGTAAAATTGTTGTCAGTACCATTCCCATTGATCCGATTTAAATTAGTATGGTTAGTATCACATCTGTAAAAAAATAAATAACAGAAATAATTGAAACACAATAAAAGTTCCCAATACTTATTTATACTTGTAAAAGTACCCCACAACGTTCTTTTGTTGTCTTCTTTCTTGTCGCTTTTCCCTTAGCAAGTCTTTATTTATTGAAGAGGGACAAATTTTTTGAAGGAATAGCTTTTTCTTAAGCATATATACAAATATTTTTGAATGTATCCTAGTAGTTCATCACATTCCCACTTCCCACAGTTTTGTCTTTTGGGAACCAAAAACTTTACATCGTTCGTAAAACACTTTAACGGGTTGGTCACATTATAACCTGCTACAGCACACAGTGCCTTACCACCCGGCTTTTTAACGTAAGAGATAGAAAACAGAGTTACGTTGTGAGATAAAAAGAGATGAAACTCGTAGAGGTGGGAAATAATCGATACAAACCTATAATTTACATTAAATTACATTACCACTATCGATAATCTCACACCTTTAGACGTTAGCTTCGAGCTTACTAGTATTAGAAGTGTTTAAAGTTGCTTTAAAACCGGGCAAAATAGCGGAAAGGATATAAGACACAGTAATTTGTGAGATAGTACGAGATAAAGCTAGTTCTTAGACGTGGCTATTTGACTTGTCATAATTATACGGATGACCTCGAAAATATATTTTTTTAATAATTTCAGATGTTAGAATAAATGATTGAATAAATTAAGATATATTATAGTAAAAAACATTAATTAGTAACGATTTTAAATTATAAATCTTTAAGTTTATTTAATAATAAAAATAACTAAACTTAAATATTTGACTAAACTATAGATAGGTATGTTCTGTCCGAAAACAATTATTGTATGTGGAATTGGTGTAATAGTTAGAGACTTGGTCTATTTACAATTTATTTTTATTTTAATGTTATAAAACGGAAATACAAAATAATTCTGTTTATGACTGTAATGACTGTTTATGTCAAATCCATCACTAAATTCTCAGTGTTAATATCAATTCCTCTGTACAGGTAATGATTTTCAAAACAATTGACAACATTGGAATGGATGCGCGCGCAGCGAAGCCTTCAAGCCAACAAATAATAACATATCGTGTAATAACGTATCGAGAAGTGTTTTTGCACGATAAACAGAAACTTTTTATTGAAAAAACAATTCGTGAAAATGGTTTTAACGGTCGAGGAAAAAGTGCAAATTGTTGTCTAGCATGTGAATGGATTCTCAGACAACATGATTAGACAACAATTTGTAAATATGTTTCCAAATAGGCCGGCTCCAGCACGATCAATAATTCAATCTATTATACGTAATTTTTTTACTTATGGATCCGTGTTCGCTCCAAGAGGAGTTCGTAGACGATGGGAGGTAAATCCAGATTTGGAACTAAGGGACACTTTGATTTGTGCAAGTATTTGTGTAAGTTTATTTACTCAAATCATAGTAGACATTCTTGGTTAATAATTTAAAACTTTAGAATAAATAATAACTATTAATTAAATTATTTTATTCACATTTTTGCTTTATTGTGGTCAATCAGTTTTTACTTTATGCGAAATTAAAAAATGGAAATACGTCACACATACGACGTCACACATAATAATTATGACCGAGGTGGTTTAGCTTGAAGATAACGTCTAAAGGTGTGAGACTATCGATAGTGGTAATGTAATGTAATGTAAATTATAGGTTTCTATCGATTATTTCCCACCTCTACCAGTTTAATCTCCTTTTATTTTACAAGGTAACTATGTTTTCTATCTCTTACGTTAAAAAACCGGGTGGTAAGGCACTCATTACTGTATATCATGTATCTACTGTCAGGTACGGCGACCGAGAACGCAGTCTGGTGTGCGTGCGAACCCAAAGAGAAGTCTTGAATGTAACTACTGGTTGGCACGACGGCCTAGAAGTCTGAGAGAGGAATCTGGTATGTAACTACTGTCCAGCACGAGGACCGAGAATGAAGTCTCTGAATGCCGCTTCAATTCAATGTTTTATAGGGAAAAGAACCACCAATTTTTCAACGGTTTGTAACGAATTTTAAATGCGCCAACGGTGGGTTCTAATAAGCCACTTTTTCTATACATTTACGAAGAAACTGCATAATAATAAAACAATCATACTAAAAGATTTATTGGCCTTTAACGAGTTCCGAGAACAAATAGACATTATTGACCCAGTTGTAGGTAGACATAAAACTTATTTTTTGGAACGAATAAGCGAAGTTGTTGGTACGAGGACCAGTTGACCAGTCGTGGTCGTAAAAATGATAAAAACTTTTTATATTGAGAAGAGGAGAATTGGCGGTAAAATGATATCGAAGCGCAATTAGATACAAAAAAAACAACCTGTTTTAACAGGCGTCTCAACTGAAAGCGGACGAAACAAAAAACTCGTTTAATTTGATCTGAGATATATCGAGAATAAGTAGAATATATTTTCGTGTTTTTTTAATAACTATAACAAAATAATGAGGGATTGTTGGTAATATGTTATGACTTTGAGAGTTTTAAATATATTATATTTGAAATTGTAAGTCATCTGTAGATTAGTATTTACAAGTGGAATGTTTTTAAAGAAAATTAATAAATATACACTTCCATTATTCATGACTATTTTTCTTTTTTCAATTAAAGAGGCCGACAACACTAAGTTTATTTCATCAATTAATAACTGTGGTAGACATTTTTTTATTACCTATATGTTTGCAACAATGACTCTGTCAAAATATTTTGAGGTTAAGTGAACCGAATACAGAATATCATACATAACTAGAAAGCTCTTTTGTCATGCAGTATTTTTAGAGATTTTTGTGTGATTCTGTTGGGGCCTTTTAAAATGGCGATTGTTAAGATTCTGTATGAGCTGTCACTAATAATTTGGCAGTTTAATTTTGTTATGACGACCATTTGAAAGTTATTCTAAATCAGTGCCACTATTACATAATCATCCCAAAACATGCTATAACCATTGATGTATTACCAACTATACCCCTATATAATAAACTTTTAAACTTGAGTTAATTTTAATATTGTTTTTTTTTGCAGAAAGTATTGGTGATTCCCAACATGGAAGACTTGGTCATACCTGTGATGAATCCAAAATTGCCGGATTAAACAAAATTGTTGTAATTATTTCATTTACTTGGTGATAGAAAAAATACAGGGCAAACAAGGTGTCGATTAACACTTAGTCGTATTTTTTAAAAAGGAGTTCCAATTGTCTTATTGTCGCGTAGTGACGTTACTTGTTCTATTTAATTAAAAATACGGAGAGGCAGTTGAAATAAGAGAGGTTGAGTTAAAAGAAGTATTAGAGGTTAAGTAAAAGTATTTCCATTAATGGTTCAATAATCATTATGCAAGCTTTGCTTTCTGTTGGACCTGGAGTATTTTGTGTTTCAACCTGTTTTCACCTTTTTTCCATATTTGTTATCTCCAGTATTTTTCTGTATCTTCTTCCATCACTTTTCTTCATCGTATAAATATTTGATTGTTGATCTTTTACCTGGTTATATCTACTCCGTTATCGCTCTTAAAATGTTTGTCTTTTCTCTAAACAGTGTGACCATGTATTCATATGTCAACTACATGTATATTTCATGTTTTATCCTTTTCGTTTCTGTGGACTTCTTAGCTATATTTTTACAATTTCTGACGTTTAATCTCATGTCCTTTCAGAATTTTCCCTGATAGTCTTCTACTGTCCTTCTACGTGATTTAGCCATTGTTTTGTTATTGTAGCTATTATAATTATATTATCTATTTACTTGATCTTCTTATCCACATATAATTTAACCTTTTCCCGAACTAATTTTCCTTTCCCGTATTTACTAATAGACTAGGCGGCATCTGTAGAAATTCAGACCATAATGGAAATTTCGAGGGAAGCTATTTTTTTTGCTGGAATCCCTTCAGGATATGCCCAGTATCGATAATCACGATATGCGCCAGTCGCAAACCCTGTGCTAAATTTTTTATTTAACAAAATCTGAAAACAATTGAAAATTTCTCATTTTTTGCTCCTATTTTCATTTATAATTCGAAAAATATTGATCTTAGAGAAAAAATTATAAATGGTTAAAAGTTTCGTTATTAAATTTTACACAATATTTTGTTAGCTAGAAATTGAAAATTTAATGGTTATTGTTGAAAAAATAGCAATAATTGAAAAAAAAAGTACAAAAAAATGAAGTTAACCCTTTAAATGTTTTCGACTTTCTAAACTTGACTTACAAATTCCATATTCTGCCTAGAAAAACTTTTTAATATGTTTAAAACGTGTGCTAAATTTTGTTAAGATCGGTCGGATAGGTTTTGCATAATAATTTTGCAATCCAGCCTACTGGAAAAAAATCGCAAATTTTCAAATTCATAGTAGGCTCTAAATAAGGCCCTCAGATAGTTGCAATTTTTTTCACATATAAAGGAAGTCTCACTTTCAAACGCTTTTTGTAAAATTCAAATCGGTTTACTAGGAAAGCCTATAAATTTTTTTAAAGTTATAAACATTTTTTAGGCTTATAAACAAATTAAATAACTTTACGAGCTTTAAACATATCAATTTCAAAATGTATACACTTAAAGAACATTAAAAGACGCTTCTTTCAAAAAACAAAAAGATACATTCGGCTTACTGGTTGCCGAGATATTAAAGGTCAAAGTTGGCATACATTTGCCGTGTAACCATAAGTGATAGAGGGCTCGTTTTTAAACAAATACCCTCGTCTTGTCAAATACTTTTTATATGAAAAGTTTTACGTAATGCGCTTTATGGTAATTTCCATAAAAAAGACAAATAAAAAACCGTTTTCGCGTAATATGTCGCTCGGAATGCATGAAAGGTGGTGATGAGGGACATTTACTTCAAATGTGAATCGGCGAGTATCAAGTATATATTAGCCTCAGATAACAAGCCAGTTTTTATAATTGCAGAGGATATTGATGTTCTGGTAATATTTTTACAAAAAGTAACTGAAAATAAAAATATTTTTTTCTGGAAACCTAGCAAAGGAAAAAATCGGAAGAAATTTATGACTGCAACTCTTTCAATAATGCACTTAAAATAAGTGAATACGAAATCTTCGTTAAAAAATTTAGTGGGCTTTTTATACGCATTTTCTGGTTGTGATACAACCTCTGCATTTTTTTATCAAGGAAAAAGCAAAATTGTTATATTGGTTTCAACAAATAATGATATATGGCAAGAAGCAACCATTTTTAATGAAAATAGTGCCACTAAGGAAGAAATTAAACGCAGCGGATGCAAAATTATATCGGCATTGTATATGGGCCACTCAAAGTGCTATTTTACATTGAATAAAATTCGCTACTTGTGCTTTAAAAAAGGTTGCAAAAATAAAAATTTTCAATTGTCCATGCTGCCACCTCCACAATCTGCAGCTGAGCAACACTCGCTTCGTGTATATTTCCAAGTACAGCAGTGGCTTGGAAATAACCTGAATGCTACTGAGTGGGGGTGGGAACTAACTCAAAATGGTCTTGAGCCAATACAAACTGAGCAAGTATTACTACCTGACTCATTATTCAGAAATATTAGTTGCAAATGTAAAAAAACTTTGTACAAAAACATGCAGTTGTATCAAACATGGTCTCAAATGTTCTGACTATTGTCTTCACTGCAATGGTCAAACATGTAAAAATATTGATCACAATAAAATATTGGAAGAAGTTGAACGAGATATGGATATGGAGTCGATGGATTCCTTAGATTTTTTGGAGGCACAAGATATAGCTACAGATGAAGGAGAAGAAACATTAAATTTACAGATCGAGGATGAAGATATTGAAATGGAAAATGAGGAAGAAATAAAACCTGAAGATTCTTGTCCTTCCAAAAAAAGAAAAAGACTTAAAAAAATTATTGAAGATTGAGTCAAAATAAAGATTATTTATGAAAAGAAAATTTTTGTTTCATTCGCTTTTGTTTTAACAATTTAAATTATTTATTAACAATTTATAAATACATATTTGTTTACTAAAAGTAACAATTTACTTCAATGTATAAATTGCAAGCTCAAAAAAAAAACAATTTCGAGCATTACACAGCAGTATAATAACACGTCAATATACAATATACACGTCACTTTCGAATCAAAATATATTCTCAAATCAAATAATGTCATTATTATGATAAAACTGCAGAAATAAATTATTTTTAATGTTAATTATTTTAAAATGTTTGATTTTTATAAAAAAAAACGTTTTAACAATTCAAATTATTTATTAACAATTTATAAATACATATTTGTTTACTAAAAGTAACAATTTACTTTACAAGCCCTTACAGATTTTGGAGCACTTTACTTTTGTTTATATTTCAAAACCCGAAATTAAACAAACTGATGGTCCCCTACTTGATACTCGCCGATTCACATTTGAAGTGAATGTCCCTCACCACCACCTCTCATGCATTCCGAGCGACATTTTACGCGAAAACGGTTTTTTATTTGTCTTTTTTATGGAAATTACCATAAAGCGCATTACGTAAAACTTTTCATATAAAAAGTATTTGACAAGACGAGGGTATTTGTTTAAAAACGAGCCCTCTATCACTTATGGTTACACGGCAAATGTATGCCAACTTTGACCTTTAATATCTCGGCAACCAGTAAGCCGAATGTATCTTTTTGTTTTTTAAAAGAAGCGACTTTTAATGTTCTTTAAGTGTATACATTTTGGAATTGATATGTTTAAAGCTCGTAAAGTTATTTAATTTGTTTATAAGCCTAAAAAATGTTTATAACTTTAAAAAAAATTTTAGGCTTTCCTAGTAAACCGATTTGAATTTTACAAAAAGCGTTTGAAAGTGTGAGACTTCCTTTATATGTAAAAAAAATTGCAACTATCTGAGGGCCTTATTTAGAGCCTACTATGAATTTGAAAATTTGCGATTTTTTTTCCAGTAGGCTGGATTGCAAAATTATTATGCAAAACCTATCCGACCGATCTTAACAAAATTTAGCACACGTTTTAAACATATTAAAAAGTTTTTCTAGGCGGAATATGGAACTTGTAAGTCAAGTTTAGAAAGTCGAAAACATTTAAAGGATTAACTTCATTTTTTTGTACTCTTTTTTCCAATTATTGCTATTTTTTCAACAATAACCATTAAATTTTCAATTTTTAGCTAACAAAATATTGTGTAAAATTTAATAACGAAACTTTGAACCACTTATAATTTTTTGTCTAAGATCAATATTTTTCGAATTATAAATGAAAATAGGAGCAACAAAATGAGAAATTTTCAATTGTATTCAGATTTTGTTAAATAAAAAATTTAGCACAGGGTTTGCGACTGGCGCATATCATGATTATCGATACTGGGCATATTCTGAAGGGATTCCAGCAAAAAAATAGCTTCCCTCGAAAATTTCCAATCCAAAACAGATCCCGCCTAGACTATAAGTTCAATATCTTTGTCGATGAATGCTGATTTCTTTTTATTCATATCCTCGTTATTCGTCATAACTCCGTTATTAAACTTTTTGACAGTATATTATTTCTAGCGATCTAATTAATCTTTGGCCCCAGTTCTTGTAGTAAGTGTATTTTGATATTCTCTTCCTTTTTAAGTATTTCCAATCACATGCACTCATTTCAGTGTACTTCCATGACGTTACTCTACATTTGGCTCTAACAACTTTTCTTCTATAATGTGTACACATATGTCCTTCCTAATTATTTACTACACGTGTATTATTTCTGAATAGAGGGATAAAGCAAAAAAAAACTTCAACCGTCTGTCTGTGCGTTTAGATCTTTTAGTTTTGTTGGTTTTGTTTTCTTGTTAAGATATAATTTTTTATTTTTGTATCTGTAGACTATATAATTTTATTATTTTAGAAAAAAATATTGTTATGTGAGTTCTAGTCGTAGTCATGTCAGGTTTACAAAAATTTAACTTTTTCTATTCAGAGGACCAAATGATTTATTTTTAAAAGTTTAGATATAGAGTCAGTTCAATTTGTCAACCCTTTTGCCGCAGCATTTAATTGTTTGAAGAGAAGTGAATATAAATACAAAGTAATTAAAAAAAACTAGGACAAACAGTAACAAAAAATATTTATAAGATACTATGATCGAATATACCATTCCATAATATTTTATTGTTTTTCCATGACTTCCAGTATTGCCGTGTTTATATTAATTTTACTGTTAAATTCATATACTTTTTTTAAATAAACTCAAAATGTTCAGTTGTTTTCTACCACATTATGCCTTCCGTTGCATTCATCAGTCAATTTGACAACCTCAACATTTTCCGACGTGTTTTTTTAATGTTAGTGTGTATTTTGCTAGTGATTTTTTTGTGTCATGCAGCGAAAGGGTTGACAATAGATGGAATTCGAACAAAAATAGTTTCAGACTTTCCCAAAACTGACAATAATTACTGGAGTTCAAGCAGTTACTTGTTGGAATATTCTAAAAAGGTAATCTCGTCTATGAGATCTAAATTGATGTTATATGTTTGACAAAAAAAGTAATAAATGTTTCTCAGACAGTTCTTGTTTAAAAATCATTTAGTTTTGATTTGTATAATACCAGATCCTAATAAAATATCACCAAATGCAGGATATCCCAAAAAAATTAATTAATATATCATGAAATGTGGTAAACTTGGTAAAAGTAACGAAAAACAGGGCCTAAGACGTTGCACAAAAGGACACATGGTACACAGAGATGAACCAATCTTTCAAAATATTGTATTATGGAGACAGTGCAGCATTGACAGCAAAAACTGACAATGACTTGCAATAATTAAAGTTTTCTCCAGAAGTATCTCCACCAGTGGACGAACATTTGTAATTTACTACAATTAAAAATATTTCACGATAAAAAATTAGAGAATAACTAATAAGTTCATTAGTGTAAGCGGTTATTTTGCAAAATGTACTGGAAACATTATTTGGTTAAAATTTTTAATTTTAATGGTACATAGCTTAATTTGTTAAGACTAAAGGTTTCATTGGTTGATCGATATGGACCGTCAGCGTCAGCGAGCGATGTATTTCTGGAGGGAACTTCACCATTTGGATTCA